CCCCCTCCCGGCCACTCCCTCCTTCTCTCTTCCCCTCCCTCACCCTCCATTCTTCTCTCTTCCCCTCTCTCCCCCTCCGTCCCCCTCCCTCCTTCTCTCTCCCCCTCCCTCCTCATCCCTTTCTAAAAGTTCCTTAGTCATCTCATTTCATACGCCAACGAACCGTTTACTAAGGTTCTCGTTGCCTAGAGGTCTAGGTGTTCGCCTCTCGTTCAATAGGTCCCGGTTCGATTCCCGATAGCAACGGAAAAAACACATTCTTTTCTAAAATTGTCTTCTTTCACGTCCTTTCCTGCTCTCTAGCAATGTCCAGTCTTCACTTTCTGCCACCACCCTCTCGCCATCTTTGTCCCCTCCTCTGGGCCGCTGACTCTTTCTGCAGCCTTTCTACTGCTACTCTTTGGCTCTTTCTTACTGTTGTCTTTCAGCCATACTCTTGGTCTTATGGTAAGAAACCTAGCCTTCTCGGGCAATGGCGAAATATCTCTGAGGTGCCGTGTACACGTTGTGCATGTTAAAGATTCCTTGGTGGTCCAAAATCGATAAGAGTAGGCTTCGGCGGCCACCCGGGCAAGATTCAAAATGTCCTTCCAAACTGAAAATGTTTAATGTGTTCGGCGCGCTCATATGACCTTATGCAGTTGCAAGCGCCGTAAAACACTAACATCCCCTTCCCCACCACACACACAAAAAAACTCAAAACAAAAACGGTTACCTTCCAGATCCAGGGTTGGGGAAATTCTATCCAGCACTGCCATTTTCCATTGACGAATTTGAGTTCGTTGATGATGAGCATGGGAACCGAGAACAACAGAGCGAATCCCCAGGCCAGACTAAGCAACACTCGAACTCGCCGCTCTGAGGAAGCAGACATATAATATTATGAGGTAATCGGTTTGGGTTTGGATTTGGATTTGGGGTTGGGATGGGGGTTCGGGTTTGGGTTGGGTTTGGGTTGGGTTTGGGGTTGGGTTTTTGCCGCAAGAGTATGGCAATGTTTTTTTACAGTAAATAAGTGACTGATGATGGTGGTGTTAAAGAAAGTCTTTATCGTCTGGATTGTACGTCATAGGAGTGGTGGTGATGGTAGCTGTAGCAGTAGTAGTAGTAGTAGTAGTAGTAGTAGTAGTAGTAGTAGTAGTAGTAGTAGTAGTAGTAGTAGAAGTAGTTATAGTAGTAGTAGTAGTAGTAGTAGTAGTAGTAGTAGTAGCAACAGTAGTAGTAGTAGTAGTAGTAGTAGTAGTAGTAGTAGTAGTAGTAGTAGTAGTAAGCGAGTTGATAATATGATCTTTTATTTTCTTTATATAGCGCACATCCATATTCGAAATTAAAATTTATTATCTATGCGTTTTACAACGCACTACCTCGAAATACAATATTATATAGTATTTCGTATTATTCTCAGAAATATATTTTGAGAAATATCTGCCAGTGCTGCGAATTAAATTTACTGGCGCAGAAACACTAACATACTGACAAGACCCTACATCATTGTCTTGTTCTAGTGTCCATCTCTCCACAGGTGGTTGGAGGGCGTCACTGGTAGGTCTTACAACAACTACTATTTTCATCTTTTTTTTTGTCTGTCTGTCTTATCTTTTCCATGCATTAAATGGTGATCATTGTTTCAATGTATTTTACTCAAACAAACAAAATTAAAACAAACAAATCCTTTTGGATGGTTGGCGGGTGCTCTGGTGTAGTTTGCTCCTTTTTTATATAAAAAAACTTTCGTCCTTCTCTCTCCTCCTTTTTATGTTTGTTACTCTCTTGTAACACCCCTAATCTTCGGCACTTAAATGACCTTATTGTGTTGCAAGTATCTTAAAACTGTAACAAACAAAAAAAACAACAACAAACAAAACAAATCATTCTCTTCTTGATCAAATAAGACGACTTTTGTAAAACGGGTTTCCCGTAGACGTCACGCTGGACCGTAACTGGGAATTGACTCCGTTACCAATAGGTTGTGAATCCAACTGCAAATCCATTACATGAGGTTCTCGTGGCCTTGAAGTTAAAATGTTCGCCTCTCATTATATAGTTCCTGGGTTCGAATCCGGAATGCAACAGAAAATTTCCTTCTGTAAAATGTTCTACTTTCATATCCTTTCTGGCACTCTAAAAATGTTCTTTTGTCTGCTTTTGTCTCCATTTTCTGCCTCCACCCCCCTCACCCCCTTTGCCCCCTCCACTGGGCTCCTGACTCTTTCTGCAGCCTTTCTACTGCTACTCCTTGACTCCTTCTTGCTGCTGTCTTTCAGCCCCACCCCTGGTCTTGTGGCAAGAAAGATCTTCACCTAGCCTTTTGGGACAAGTGCGAAAAATCTCGGAGGTCCTGCGTGCACGCTGGTGCACATTAACGATCCCTTGGTGGTTAAAAAACGATAAGAGTAAATTTCGACCTCCACCCGGTCAAAATTCAAAATTTCCTGCCAATTGAAAGTTTAATGTGTCCCGTGTGCTTATATGCAGTTGCAAGCGCCATGAAACACTTACCAAAAAAAACCCATTACACTTCTGACGTTTCAATTTTACAATTTATGATGGGCACGAAATAAACCCACAGCCACGAGTGACTTACTCGATTATTTAACTCAGCAATCACTAGATAATAATTAATCAACTTGAGTAAATCTCTCACAAAAACAGCTAAAAAACAAAATAAAGATTAATAGTATTACGTTATGGTAAATCCAAATAACTTAAAGTAACAAGATGTCTTTATTCAGGTACTTAAAGAATTTGTCTGTGCCTTATTTTAAGTATATGTTTTTCCTTGTATAAATACAGGTGGCTTTGCCCTATTAAAACACCTCTCAGTTCGAGAATCTAAGGCTGAATTTACAAACTAAAACAAATTATACCAACCCATTTTACGTTTCAAATCATCAAAATGGTTACAAATTCATCTAGTTTTGAGTAGCCATCATTTACATTGTAGGCACTAGCTGTTCTGCCTTCTGCACTCGTTGACTTTCATCAGTTTGAAAAGTTCCCCGGAAATGTTAGCAAAAAGAAAGAAAGAAAAAAAGCAAGTCGACCCGGATGAACTTTAATGATAGTGTCCGTCATACCCTAACGATTGGGGGAAAATCCAGATCTTCAAAACAAAATGTTTGTTTTGTTTCTGTTATCAAACATCTAATCTTGTAAACGGAATTAGGAGGAATAGATGTTGACGCCTCTAGGTCCAAATTGTAAGAACTGTTTATGAAAAGAAACCGGTAGATCTATACTTTCTTTTCGTCTTTCCTTCTTTTGTCCATTCTTTCTTCACTCTTTTTTCATCCCTGTTTCTTCTTTCTTGTTTCTGTGTCTATACCTTTCTCTTCAAAACGCACATTCTCTCCTTCTGCATGTATATCTGCATGGTTCTCTCTATATATATCTATCTCTCGCTGTCTGTCTGCCTCTCTGTCACTCTCTCTCTCTCTCTCTCTCTCTCTCTCTCGCTCTCTCTATCTCTCTCTCCCCCCTCATTCTGTTCTCACATTTTCATTCATTTTTTCATAATTAACTTTCCTGTCTCTTTTTGTTTTTTGTTTTGGTAAGTGTTTTTACGGCGCTCGCAACTGCATAAGGTCATATGAGCACGCGGGACACACCTAATATTTTCAGTTGGTAGGAAATTTTGAATTTTGCCCGGAGGGCGGCCGAAGCCTACTCTTATTGATTTTAGACCACCAAGGGATCTTTAACGTGCGCAACCTGCACACGGACCCTCCGAGATTTTTCGCCCTTGTCCGAGAAGGCTAGATGTAGATCTTTCCTACCAGAAGATCAGGGGTGTGGCAGAAAGACAGCAGTTAGGAGGAGCCAATGAGTAGCAGTAGAAAGGCTGCAGAAAGAGTCAGGAGCCCAGAGGA